GTTTATATAATCTAATATAAACTTACTAACTAACTAATTTACACATACACAACAACAAAAAAATAATAAATTACCCGCGTATTTATGCCTTCTTCCTTTCCTTTCTTGTTTCTTTCTTCGAATCAATCTGTACGTGAGAAAATGTTGTGGAATAATGTCTTGTATGTGTAAACTAAATATTTCTTTAAACAACAATAAATTAAACAAATTACTTTTATATAATCTAATATATTATAATATAACTTAAACTAATAAACTATTTCTTTATTATAATATAACTTAGTTAAAATAACAAACTAACAAACTAATTAAGCACTAATTATTTTTTTATAATATAACTTCAACTTCAACAAACAACATAATATACGTTTAAAGACACTAACAAATTAATTAATTATTTTTTTATATTTAATAACTTAAACTAAGAAACTAATTAACTAATTTTTTATATAATATAATATATAACTTAAACTAACAAACTAATAATTTATACTAACAAACTAATTAACTAAATTTTAGTTTTACCCTAAACCCTAAACTAACAAACTAATAATTTTATATAATAAACTAAATTAAACAATAAAAAATTACCTCACGAACGATGTTTGAGCCTTTATCTTCTTTTCTTCTTCTTCCTTTTATTTCTCTCGACAAAGTTTCTATATGTGCTTCTGCTTCTACCCTAAACCCCCATATCCTTTATATAAAGCAAATGAGCGTTGAATCGTGTAACTATTGAGCGTTGAAAGGCTGTAATTCAACATCAATATTTACTGCATTTAGCAGCTAAATTAACGCTGCAATAATGCAGCTAGGGATGCAGGAATCTCCCAGCTATGGCATGCAGAGGGTTAAAAGCATGGTCGTGTACCATGTCGACGGGAGTGCATGACGACCTCCTTGGTCGCCCGGAGTGCATGGCGACCTATGGGTTGGGTTGTGCATGTCCCATGCACACGTTAATTCTCTTGTCGGGAAGCTGCCACATTGTAGGTCGCCCAGAAGGCATGGCGACCTACGGCCAACACTGTGCAATTCGCCCTATTTCAGCAATTAATTGGGAGTACATTATCTCGTGAAATAAAAAATTTGAAAACATTATCTCGAAAGTTTTGCCCAGTTACCGTATATATATATATTTGCAAGCAGTTCAACGCTTAATGGTGTGATTTTACTTCATTGAATCATTTCCATTTCCACATTTTTGTTAAATTAAGTAATATTTTATAGGGTCAACTACTTAAACAGCCACTTAACTATGACGTTGTGTTGATATGACCACCATACTTTCACTTTTGACAATATGGCCACATAACTATTTAAGTAGTTTCAATGTATTCATGTGTCGTTATAAAAAATCGGTGTTAGACCCCTAAAAATGTAGCGGAGAAAATGTTAGACACCTAATTTTTATAAAAAATTCTTTAGACACCAAAAATTAACTTTGAGTATAATTTAGACACTAATTTTACATAAAACCTCATATAAACTTCTAAAATTTAACATTTTTCATTAAGCTTATAAGATTCTTTTATTTTTTTATAAATTAATAAAAGACTAAAATTTTGGAATTCATGTTTCGATTTTATGTTAAAATTATAATTCTCATTTTAAATAACTCCCTCCACTTTTTTCATTCATAATTTAAAAGGCATAATACCAAAATTAGCCCCCCAACGTTTCATTTTAGGGTAAAAAGGCTCCTGACATTTAACAAAATAATTGTTTTATCCCTTATTTTTTTTCTTGAGCATTTTAACCCTCAACGTTTTATTTTAGGTTAAAAAGGCTCCTATTTTGGAGTGTTAACCGTGTGCAAACTAATGGTTTTCATTTATAGAAGAAGTTTTTTGTCCCAAACTGAAACTTTGGGGGCTAAAATGTTTGAAAAAAGAATATAGGTCAAAATGACCATTTTAATAAATGTTGGGGTTATTTTTGGCATTATGCCAATTTAAAATGATAATTCATCTTCAAACTTTTGAAGATATTTCTTCCTCGACGATATATATGAATCACATCATTGTAAGACACAAAAGATATAGAAGTCTCCTTAATCCAAAAGAAAGTAAGTTCACATGTGTAAATGAAATAAAGGGTGTAAATGAACAGAAAGCGTTTAATGAATTGTTCATAAATGGGTTATATAACGTTCGTTTATGTTCGTTTGTTAAGTTAAATAAACAAGTATAAAAAATATTTTTATTTTCATTTAATAAATAAATGAACACAAACAAAAATATGTTCGGTTCATTTATATTCACAAACTAGCAAGGGAGAAACTAGAAATATTATTTAAGGGTGTCAAATTTAGAGGATTTATTTTGGGTGTCAAATTTTAAAATTATATGAATAATATTCTAAGTGGGTGAAACCGAATAATGAGAAGTAATTTTTGTTTAAAGATGTCAATATTTTTTTTTTAAAAATGTTATTTTTATTTTTATATTAAATTTATCAAAAAAGTTAAAAAAAATTGGTGTCATATGACACCCTCAATATATAATGGCTCGTCTATGAGCTCATTTAGTCGATTATAAGTTCGTTTATGGACTTATAAGCTCCTTTAAAAACTCTTTAAGACAATCAAACTCGTTTAGTGACTCTTTAAGACAATTATTTACTTGGTTCTCATTTTTTTTATATTTAAACATTTTTTTTGTATTTTTAATGATAAAATTTGAAGTTTATATTATGAACCTTGAAGAATTTGTTACTAGTTAGTAACATAAATTTATCATTTTTCTTTAAATTAAAAAAAATTAACAATGAAAAGAAAGTATTGAACATATAAACTAATATGATTGTGACTTGTGAGCACATAAATAAAAATAAACATATTCATAAATATTAAATAAATATATTCATGAATAAAAAATAAAAATATATATTTACTTTTAAATAAAAATAAATCAAAACATAAATATTTTAAAAAATAAATGAAGATGAATACAAATATATCCTTTTCTGTTTTAGGTGAACTAATTTACACTCTTAAAAAGAGTAAAAAACTACTTGCATTGTGAATGAAAAGCTGATCATTTTAATTTTTTGTTTAATACGATAACAAAAATTATTTTCTACTAAACAATCTGAGACCGTACGACACACTCTGCGGGGATTATCTCAGGAAAGACGACTATTATACGGTATTATCATATATATTAAAAGATATTTAATAAATTTAATTTAGCGCTACCTATTATGTTGACAAGCTGATAATGTTTTAGGTAGAAAACATGAAAAATTATTAAAAATTTGGTAACCGGTAAACTTTGGTTATCGGTAAGTATCGATACATATATATAAGTGTCCATACTTATTTCACTTTGGAAAATATTAATTTAAGGTTATTTTTTTAGTGAGTTTTAATATATTAATTTAATAATTATACACGTCTAATATTTATTTTTATATTACGATATATATTATTATTAAATTAAAAATAATAAACATAGATATTAAATATTTATTATTATCTTTGGTTAAAATTATTAAATTTAAATACTAAATAATATTTTATAAAATATCAAAACAATCAAATCATTTTTTGTGTAAATGAAATTATTAAATTAATATTGTAGGAGGAAAACATAAAACACTATTAAAAATTTTTGAAACATAAATTACATAACTTTCAACAAAGTATCGATATATTTTTATAAAAAGTATATATACTTTCAATATATCAGGAAAATTTTACCGGTTTTATTATAATGAAAATGGTTTTGTCATATTTTTACCTGTTATATTGTAATAGGTAGCGCTTATATAATGTAATAAGTAGCGCTTATATAATGTAATAGGTAGCGCTTATATAATAAAATAGGTTAATTACTAGAAACATTATTAAGCACAATAACATATTAAGTACCGCTTAAATAATGTAATAGGTAGCGCTTATATAATGTAATAGGTAGCGCTTATATAATAAAATATGTTAATTACTGGAAACATTTTCAAGCATTTCAACATATCCGATAAATTTTATCGGCTTTATCATAATGAAACTGGTTTTGTCATATTTTTACATGTTGTATTGTAAAGTATAGATATATTTTTATAAAGTATCGATACTTTATAGGCGCTATTATTACTTTTCTTTTAAATTCCAAAAATGTCGATACTTATTTAAATAGAATCTACACTTTCAACATATCTGGTAGGTAGTTTAATGTAATAGATAGCGCCTATTTTTTTTACCGTTTACATTATTATACTTAATAATGTTTCTAATAAATAATCGATTATATTATCCTTGATAATATTTTAGGCGCTTACCTAATATATTATAATAACAAATTAAATAATTAACATATTTTATTATATCACTACTTATTATGTTATATAAGTGTTACATAATATATTATTGTGTTTGATAATATTTTCGATAATTAACCTATTTTATTATATAAACGATACTTATTACACTATATAAATTGTACATAATATGTTATTGTACTTAATAATATTTCCAATAATTAACATATTTTATTATATAAATATTACCTATTACATTATATAAACGAAACCTAATATTTAAATACTTAATATTTTCAATTAAATGATATAATATAATCAGTCTAAATTTTAAACGATCATATCATTTTTTAACCGTATTTTAAGCATCTCACCGCAAAACTTTCCCACCCTACGGACAAATACTTGGAACTACAAATCAATAAAGACAAATTATATTAATTTTATGATTCGATAATAATCGAAATCATCGTCTACATGATTTCTTCGAAAATGTAATAATAAAGGATTCTAATTAACAATAAATAGACTAAAAACTGCTTCTGAATTAAAAATACTAGAAACGGTCAACCTACTTAAGATTTATTTTTGATTTGAAATGATTTTTGGGTGAATACTGTATTGCTTCATTCCATTTTTGATGTTTTTAAAAGATAACGGTGACAGATAAGAATAAGCATCGGTCAAAAACATGATAACAGAACCCAAACAGCCCGATAACAGAAACAGAGAACCATAGAGCCAATATCGAATCAAAATACTACCATAACATTTCCTAATCACGATTTTAGAGGCTACAGCCCAACCATAAACCTAAAACTTAAGATCTCCAGTTGCCGGAGTCACCGCCTCCTCTTGAGTATCGGGAACCACCACCTCCGTAACCTCCTTCACGGCGACCACCTCCATATCCACCACCACCATATCCTCCACCGCTACCATATCCACCTCCTTCACGGTGTCCACCGCCGCCATATCCTCCTTGTCGACCTCCATAACCACCGTCTCCACCACCGCGGTTGTATCCACCGTTTCCTCCTCCAAAACCACCGCCACCTCCTCCGCTTCGGCGTGATTGAGCTTCGTTGACGGTAATATTCCTTCCGTCAAGATTCTGACCGTTCATTCCTTCGATGGCGTCCCTCATAGCCTTCTCGTCACGGAAAGTAACGAATCCGAATCCTCTTGATCTTCCAGTCTCACGATCATTGATGATCTAACATAAGAGCAGATAAATAATCAATTAAGTGGACAAAATCACAAAAATAAAAAGAGAAAAACAAAGAATATTTTTCGAACCGATCAATCTTCGGCCCAAGGGGATGAAGAAAGAACGTACCGGTTAGAGAATTAAAAGAGAACAGTAACAAGAAGAGTATCAAGTAACAAGTAACAAGAAGCAGTAACACAAAATAACAGATCAAGGATCACAGATCATAGACATGGAAGGCCCAGTTCGGGTCGGATCGAGTCAGATCTGGAGTCCAATCACAGCAACAAACGGACCTTCGATTCGACAATTTCACCAAAGGTACTGAAGGCTTCTTCAAGGGCCCGGTCGTCGGTGGCCCATGCGAGCCCTCCGACGAAGCACCGGAACTCAACATCAGCGGCGGCCATGACGTAAAACACTAAAAACAGGAACAAAGAGATATTGAAGAGGGGGATTTGATGGTTTGGATCGAAAATCAAGCAGCCTAAACCATGATTTTATAGATAGAGTGTCGGGGGTTGAACTAGGGTTAAGTGGACCCGGATACAGCGAATTACGGTTAGTTTAACCATGGTTAAAACTACGATGGCCCTGAATAGTAGGGCAGGGCCAGCGGGGGAACTGGTGAAGTGATAAAAATAAACTATGGTTAGTTACGTGGTGACCAAGTCGGATGTGGCCTGTGGGGCCAACAGTCACGTGATTCCCGGGTTGTTTGAAAAAGGCATTAGAAAATATCTCACACCCTGATTGATTGCATTTTGCGTCCACTTGGCACCAAATGTTGTGGCGTTTAAGTCGGCTCTATGTCGGTTGGGCTGAAGACCAAATCGGCCCAATATAGGTACCCTTTTTGTTTTTACCTATTTTTTCTCTTAATAAATATTTATTTATATTTAAATACTATAACATAAATCTTATAAAAATTTACATAATTTACTTAAAAATCACAAAATCACTAAAATAAATGCAATTTTAAGTATAAGTAGAAACAAATTTTTATTAAAATATTAAATCCCAAAGTACTTAGAGGGTCAATTTATTTTATTTATTTAGTCATGATTAATTTGAAGTAAGTACGAGGTAATATTTATTTAAAGATAACTTTTAACTTTTTGACAATGAATGCTTACACCCTTAGTGCTCGAACCCAAATCCTCAAAAGATATCAATAAGTTCTGTATTAAGAGACCACTTAATTCATGCTTAGAAGATCAATTTAAAATGTTATAACTTAACCCAAATATTACATTTTATTCTTATCATAAATTTCAGATAAAGTAAGATGTTGTTGAGGCTATATCAAAGAGTTATATCGGTTAGATGGCTAATCTAACAAATGAAAACCTTCAGTCTTCTAATCATTTGTAAAAATAATAATACATAAATGAAATACGAATGATCTTTTGGTACTTATTTGATTAAAAATTGTGTATAAGGGTCAAGAATATATCATAATTGATTATTTGGATAATTTTTTGATAATTTAAATAACTTTGGTCGTATATTTCAAAATCAAATTCCTTGAAAAACTAGATTATTTAATTTAAATTATTTACTTGATTTGATTAAAAATAAATAATTCAAATAATGTAAACTTATATTTAAATTTATTTTTTAAGCACGAACCAAACGACTTTGCCAATAAAAGAATTATTATTATTTTTTGATGTATCAGATTCAAACACTAGAAATATCATGAGTACGAGTGTCCAATATCAAATGGTTGAGGGATATCTTTGAATATACTTCTTATATCTACCCTAAAAAAAATTTGCTTAGTTTTTGCGTGTGTTTGGGTGCGGGAATTATAAGGATTGTTATGTTACTTATCAACCTTTGTGTTTGTCACCATTCGTGTGTACTATTAATCATGCAGAGATCATTGTTTCCATTGGATTTGCGTTTACTCAAAGACTCCATGGATTACAAACTTAGAGTGACTTCAAAGGTTCCCCTTCTTTACCCAATTCTCCATAACTACTATTTCAAGAGACACACTCATAAATTTTGAATTTAATGCATTAAAGAAGTACAAAACACATTAAAATTTAAAAAAAATATTAATTTTAAAATGTATTAGAGTATTCCCTCTTCAAGTTTAAAATTTTAAAAGCTCCATAATAATTTGTTTTTTATGTTAAAAATTGATGATTTAGTTTCCAACAAAAAGTATAGAATTGGTAAAGAATGATAGTGTAAAATGAAATTCAATAATACTATTTTTAAGGGACAATTGATAATAATTGAGATTTGTCTTCGCTAGGAAGTTCTATAGTGCGACACCTTTAATATATAATAAAAAATATGTTATTGGTTTTGTTATTATTTAAATAAAAAAACCGATAAAAAATTACTTAAAATATTATTATTTCTACCTAAAACATTAATTTTTTTAACATTTCTGATAAAACACATAATAATAAAAAAATCAATAGAAATAATAATAATTTCGATAATTTTTTACTGGTTTTATTATTTAAATAATAACAAAATTAATAACATATTTTTTAATTGTATATTGAGTCTGCCACACGCAACCATTTCACGTCTTCGCTGCTATCATCAATGGTATTCTTAACTACCATTGGGACTTACAATTATTCCACTAATAATAATAAAAAAGAAAACAAAGTGATATGTTGAGTTTCAACAATAAAAAGAAATATTGAGTTTTTAAAATAAGAATAAAGGGTTTTGGTATTGTCACGGGCCGTGGGCCGAACGACCCCGCAAACTTTAACTATGATATTGCGATAATTTGACTTTGAAAATTCTAAAGATATGACAGTATAAATATTAAAACAATAATGTGAGAAAACGGAGAACCAAAAGCATGAACCCCAAAGCAGGGCAATCATTAATTTATTATGCAATACAAATCAGCCTGCAAAGTCAGAGTTTGTATTTTTCGTTTTGGTTAGTGGTACAAACATGTAAACTAAGATGACAAATGAGTATAATTTCGTGGATTCTATATCGTATCCGTTTTAATTGGGAAGGGAATGAGTATAATTTTAGTGGGTAGTGAACGAGTGTGGATTTAGAAAGTGGTACCCGTCGCGGGTAGTAAGCGGGTAATGGGTTTGAGACCTTACCCGCCCTGCATCCGCCCCACATCTGCTTGCCCAATAAAATATCAATTAAATTTTGAACTATTATGAATTTAGGTGTAATTTTAGAGACTAATTTATAAATCCTAATATTGTATAAGATATAACTTGTAATTTAACCAAATATTAGGGATAAGTTTATGCATAATTTTTTTTTCTTTCAAACCTCTCATTACTGCACCGATCTTTCAAACCTCTGGTCTCTACTCTCCAGCTTATTTAGGTACGTTTCTTCCCTTTTTACTTGAAATTTAATTTTTGTAAGAGTCATTTCCGTAGTCATTTTGTTTTAAGATCCTCTGCATTTCGTTTTAAGAGTTTAATTTTTATTTGCTCGTACTAATTTTTAATTATTTTTTAGATTCATCTCAAAATTTGTTTTAAGTTTAATTTTATAATGTTCTGCAAAATAGTATCTTGTCACTGAGAAGCCACGTTTTAGGCCAATAGAGTCAGATCGTTACTTCTCAAACCTCCATTTTTAATGCCGCTGAATAGAATTAAGTGTTAAGAGATTCAATGTCTTCCTTGTGCTATATTACTTTCCCCTGTTTTAGGCCAATAGAGTCAAGTAAGCATCTTTTTTTTTTTGGATGTGTCAAGTAAGCTTCTTTAGTTCGGTATAGTAATATCATTTGTTTTTTTGCTTCTAATCTCTACCGAGAATCATGTTTTAGGCACCTCCTAAACTATATCTTGAAATGAAACACCAAATTTACTGCTTTTCTTATTGTTAACATATAAATAGATGAGTTAATGAATGTTCTACCCACATCTTTCACATTTATTTATGATAAGTAAATGCATTGAAGAGAAATCTTTGTAATGGTATGGATGTCTTATCGTTTATGGTTAAAAGGTTGCAATTTTTTTTCTCATTTAAAAAGGGCCTATGTTGTATTCTCCTTTATGGAGAGTTGCTATTTTAGGAGGTCTTAAATCATCTTAGTTTGCTTCGACAAAACTTAATTGTTCTCAACTTTTGTTTTGGTTAAATTCGATGATATTTTCTCATGATTTTGATGGAATAGTTTAGTTCAAAGAAAGCAGATTATAGGGAAATATAAATATATAATGTCCTTGAATCATATGCATGTAATTCAATTGCCCTTTCCTTATTCACTAAAAAAACATAGTTTTCTTTCTTTTCTAATCCAATATAGATTTTATTTTTAGATAACATAGTTATAATTTATAAAGCAAACCGAAGATACGAGAAGTTTGTTGCCTAACATATTTATTCAAGCGAAACATGGTCTGCAAGTCCCATACTGAGTTGTCACCGATCGTTGGCCTGAGCTTGAAGTACGAAATAGTACACACATATGTGATGCATTCTCTATTCCCATATTTGGTTGAAATCATCATGCATTTATTGAAGAATCACTGTTGTTGGGTAGTGAGTGTGGGAATTAGGGATGGCAAACGGGCGGGGCGGGTGCGGATACCCCCTCCCCCATCCCCATACCCACCTAATATTTTTCATTCCACCACCCACCCACCACTCATGATGGGTACAAATTTTCAAATCCACATCCGCCCACGCGGGTACATTTTCAAATCTATCCCCACACCCACTACCCACTAGTGACATACCCATCTAGACCCGCCTGACAACAAACTAATGGGATGTTGGAGTTGGTTCCCAGACAGTTCGTGATGGGGTAGCAGCGCATGCTTCAATTTGTCAGAGGAGTGGCTCTACGAATGTTATGGAGACAAATTGTAGGGAGCATGTAGTCGCAGAGTTTGATTGTTGAGTTGCTTTCGATGTTAATGCTCATAGTGCGCCTAATATGGGTTGTGAAGGGCTAAACATGAAAACTGTTGCTTTTGATGTTAATGCTTATAGTACGGCTAATTTGTGTTTGGATGGGCAGCATGGGCTAAAGAACATGGAAAGTGAGTGGGATTATGGGTTTAATCAAAGAGCCGGATATTTTCCTAATTAAAGACCAAATTAAAGACTAAATATCCTTAATATTTGGTTAAATTATATGTTATATATTATAAAATATTAAAATTTATAAATTAGTCTCTAAAATTACACCTAAATTCATTATGGTCCAAAATTTAATAGATATTTAGCTGGGCGGGCGGATGTGGTGCGGGCGGATGCAGGGCGGGTAATGTCTCAAATCCATTACCCGCCCACCACCTACGACGGATACCACTTTATAAATCCACACCCGCCCACTACCCGCTAAAATTATATCCATCCCCGCTCCAATTGGAGCGGATGCGGTGCGGAATCCACGAAACTATACCCGTTTGCCATCCCTAATGGGAATGGATTTGAGAATGTATCCGCGTGAGCAGGTGTGGATTTGAAAATTTTTATCCGTC